AGTATGCTGTTTAGTTTCCAAATGTTTTCTTTTTTCTATTGATTTCTAATTGAGTTGGATTCTGTTCAACAGACTTTATACAACTTAAATTCTTTTAAATGTATGGAAATTTATTAATGCCAGTACTGGGAAGGCAGAGACAGGTAGATTTCTGTGAGTTTGAAGTCAGCCTGATCTACATAACGAATTCCAGGTCAGGCAGAGCTATGTGTAGAGACCCTGTCTCAACAAACAAACAAACAAACAAACAAACAAACAAACACCTTAAAGAGATTTAATTTTGAGCCTAAAATGTTTGCCTTAGTCCCTCATGCTCTTGAAGAATGTCCCTTTGTGTCATTGGAGGGGTGCTCTGTGATAATGTAGCCATCAATTACTTCTGTTTAGACCCTGACTCTACCTGACTCTCCATCAGTTGCTGAAAGACAGCTGCTGAACTCTGCAATTAAAACACACATTAATTCAAGTTAGGAAAAGGAAGCTGGGTTTACTACTTCCACCGGAGTCTAGGAGAGCAAAAGTGCTGGTCCAGTCGGCGAGTTGGCATTCTTAAATGTGACTGGGCCCTTTAAGATGCTCAAGAAACAGTAGCACTTGCTATGGAAATATAGCTTCAAGGTAACTCCTTTGTTCATCTCTCACCCTGTTCAATAGACTGCTTTCCCTACACACACACACACACACACACACACACACACACACACACACACACACACACACACACTTCTCTTTGTATATAATTCTGGAGATACTGTTGTTAAATAGTGATACTGTCTTTCTGATCTTACGTGTTTTATAGCCCTCAATAGTAGAACTTAAAAACATGGGCACATCCCTAAGCTAGTACACAGAAGATGCCAATTGCCAGATGTGGAACTCATAAACTAGAGAAACAGTTCAGGGATTATCATGTACATCTAGGTCTCAAGGAATGATGAGTTCAGGCACATACATTTCTTTTCTAGAAGTACAGCCTGTTTTTCTATTTTGTACTCCATAGTTTGCACAAATAATGGAGTGGAAACACAATCTGTGATGTGTGTATGCACGTTTACACTCATGCAGAGATACCTTACAGCGCGTTTCACCTTTTGAACAGCTGTTTTTAAAATTTAGCTTGAATACTAAATCAATAGATTTATTTTTTAAACTTTATGTCACTGTTTAGATTAGATCAGAAAGGTTTCTTTGAGTGACTGTTTATAAGTTCTTTTAAAGATCTCTTAGGCAATGTCAAGACTGCTGCATGCGGACAGCCGCTTGAATTATAGCGCATCAACTTTAATACGTACCTCAGGAATGATAGGGGTCTTAAATAGCCAGTCGTATTTACCAGAGAAACCTAGAGTTTTCTTAGATTGCCAACCTTAGCAAGACGAGAAATGCAGGGTGACAGAGTCTAAGTGGCTCTTTTCAGATATATCACACTGATTATCTATATTTAAGATGCAAAACAGTCTTCCAGGAGCTATTTAATTAAGTGAAAGTAAGTCCTTTTGGAACCAAGTGGTTCAGCGAACAAACATACACCAGCAAGCCAGGGAGTGGGGCGTTATTACGAGCTCCATGGGCACCGTGACACTTTAAACCCCCACATCAGGGCTCCTAAACAGTGATTGGCTGAGAAAATTATCAAACTGAATTTAAATTTCGGCAAGCACAAAATTGTCATGAAAAGGCCCAGGACAGTGTACCACTGTCAGCCTGGAAAGAGAGATAAGGGGATCTGGATTTTCAAAGTCCCCTGAAGGCTTTCAAGGTAAGATGGACTCCCCCTTCACAGGTGCCAATTGCCTTCTGTTGAAAGAGCTTTCAGCTTCAGAGATGAGATCTACTTGGGTTAAAGCTTTCTGCCTCTTAACTCTTCAAGTCTAGGGTATACGTTAAAAGAGTGGATTGTGTGGGGAGGGATGCTAAGCCCATCTGATAAGATACCGAATCACGGTAGAGTAGAACTGATTTTTGCCCCCAGACAGTGTTTGTTGAAAGACCACTGCTTATCAGAAAATCCCAAGATGAAACAGATATTGTAATTGCAATAATCTTAAAAATCAGCAGCCGGGACATTTTATGTATAATTCACTATAGCTGTATTTTTATTCAGAGCTTTAAATCGAGTCAAAGGCATTTTTCGGTCTCATCATTGGGATGTGAGGAGTGATGGGATTTAACAGAAAAGGACCACACACTGTCCTCCTCTTGAGAGAGGGGTGATGGTGGCATCCAAACACCAACTCTTCCTGAGAGAAAAGCCGGGTTTGGGATTTGATTTAATCACGTTTTTTTTGTCTCAAGCTCTGCCCATGTGCACAATTAAAGCTTTATGGTGAGAGGGTTATGTTTTTTTTTTTTTTCCAGGGCTCAGTACCTGGGCGACATTAGTCTTCAGATGTTTGCTGACTGCACTGAATAAATGAATCTCAGTTTAAATTTAATACCTTGACTCAAAGTCAACTCAGGGCCCGAGAAAGTAGTTTTCTGGCATTTGACATGGAGTTCTAAAAGCAGACTCGTGAGCAATTCTACATAGGGTGCCCACAGATCTGATTTCTGTGAGACTGAGTTTTCTTTTTTTTTTTTTTTTTTTTTTTTTGGTTTTTCGAGACAGGGTTTCTCTGTGTAGCTTTGCGCCTTTCCTGGAACTCGCTTTGGAGACCAGGCTGGCCTCGAACTCACAGAGATCCGCCTGGCTCTGCCTCCCAAGTGCTGGGATTAAAGGCGTGCGCCACCACTGCCCGGCCGAGACTGAGTTTTCTGAAGCTTCAAACTTCATGATATAGGTTCAGAAAAACGAGGATGTGTTGCCACAAGTTGGCAAAAATTGACGTGTGAATTTGATAATTCAGTGGTCACTTTGAATGGTTTTGATAAAAAAAATTAGATAATTCATGTTTTAAATATCTTTAAAAATATTTTATTAGTTCCTTGAGAAATTTGTGGCCTATGTTTTGATCATATTTACCCCTCCCCAACTCTTCCCAGATCCACCTTCCTTTTTTACTCACACAACTTTGTGCCCTTTTTGTAAACAAACAAACAAACAAACAAACAAAACCCATCAAGACCAATGTTTGCTGCCCAAATATTCTCAGATGTGCACCTGCCGTTGGAACATGGGCCCTTGCCAGGGCTTACACTTTTAGAGAAAATTGCTTTTTTCTCTTCCAGCACCTATCAACTGCCAATAGTTCTTCAGCTAGGGGTGGAACTTCATACCCAACTTCCCTCTCCACGCGAGGATTTGGTCAGGCTTCTCCTTGCTCAGGTCCGGTGCATGCTGTCACACTGATATGAAGATAGCTCAGGTGTTTAATCCTACCTCCGGCATTCCAAAAAGGCCCTGATAATTAGGCCTCCCCCCCCATCTTCTTATTGACACATTCACATTAACTTGCCAATCACTACATCTCATTTAATGTGACTACAAATTCGATAACTTAACTCTAATGAGTTGGCCATTTTCACTGGGTCTTTGACATTGCTGACCTGCCTTGCCATCAGATGTGAGCATCACACACTGTAGTGCTGGAGTGGAAAGGCGAGAGACAGGACAGGAAGCCTTAGATGGTCAGACTGGTTTAGAAATGAGATGGATATATTGATGAACTTTATGACAGGTACCTTTCCTGGACCAGGGATCCCCGTGTCATAGTGGAGACAGGGCTTCTGCTGAGGCATAACTGGGTTTGGACTTGTCAAGGGCAAGTACAAGCTTTGCTTGATAGACAGATGGCATTGACCACCCCTCCCCACCCTGCCCCCTGCCAGCTCTGTCTCAAGGCACCTTAGCCTCATTTCAGTCTATAGACTAATTGAGTGAACCCCAGCTCTTCTTAGTGCCTTTGTGCAGAGCCCTGGAGTTATGTTCTTCTTCCTGTGAGGCAGTACCCCCAATAATTCTTAATATATATTCACTGAAACTTTTTTCTAGTCTACTACTAACCTTGAATTTAATCGAGGCCATTTTATGACCTGTGAGACTGTAATGATTAAATCTTGTTGTGGAAGGTCACGAAATAGGAGAAAACAATCCTTCTATGGTCACAGTATCATGACACAAAGAAGTTAACTCTTAGAAAATAGGAACCTAAATTTTTCATTTACATAGATTTTTATATGTTTATAGCCTCTACTCTGACATATGCCAATGTTGTATGTGACTCTTGGTGAATTTGCTTTGTGACAGGGGTGAAAGGTTTTGCTCATGAAGTCCCCTCATTCAGTTGGAGACGACGAACATATACCAGCGAAGAGGAACACAGGGGCAGCCAGGCAACTTTGAGACAGTGCAATGTGCTGCCAGCGAGCTTGCAGAAGCTGCTGGCTTTGTGAAAGGAGAGCTGAAGATGCCTTGAGAAAGCTCAGGGATGGATCTTCTGCCAACCCTTGGGGTATTCTGAGGCATGGTGTTATTATTCCAGACGGAAGAAACAAAAGCCCAGTAAAGCTATTTAAAGGGCTCAAGCTCAGATGGCAGAGAGCAGGGGGAGAATTTGAATTCAGGGAATCTAAACCCAGACCTGTGTTCTCTCTCCTTGCCCGAGCTCCTTCAGCTCACGGATTCCTCCCTCTCACAGTGTTCACAGCCCGACTAGCTCTAGTCAGGTGGCAAGAGCTTCATCCTTTAAGTCACTCTTGGTAGAATGAGTTAACGTTGCTGAAAGCTGATCCCGAAGAAGAGAGCTGGTACCGTCGTGGGTAGTAACACAGGGCCAAAGCCACAGCTACGTGCTCTGCACCTCCGTGGCTGCTGCCCCCACTGGCACAATGTGCCAGAAGCCATGACAGTATTGAGCATGCTGAGGACCCAACATGTCTCCACCACCATACCAGCTTTATTCTGCAGCCTGGGAAGTCCTCTCATGTTAGTGCTCTCTGCTTGTCCTAGGAAAGGGCAAATGTAAAGACCAAAATAACACATTACTATGCTTATCATCTTTCACTTTATGAGTAATTTTGTGGCATTCTTTGTTCTAAACAGACACTGACTATTATTCATAATGAAAATGAAGATAATTATATTTATTTGCATTTGGGCAGCCGCATGGGCCATTCCGGTAAGTCCATCTTCCTAATCAAGCCTTCTTACTTTGCTGTATCTTTTAACCCAATATTGAAATGCACATATTTCCTTAAGGTTTTACAGAGAAGTTGAGTCCAAACAGATTTGCACCAAAACTATTATGTGATATCATTTGGGATCTCAACCAAGGCAAACACGTGAACCAATCCATGTTCCCTTTCTTCCCATTGAAACACGTCTTATCAGAGGATGACATACTTTTAAAGGTTCATTCAAATTAATTCAGTGTCCAGAAGTCACGGAGGCTTTTCTACCTCTGCTTCATTACATGTGCATTTCCCTTCAATGTCAGCACAGCTTAGACTAGTTGGGAAAAACCGAGGCAAGAATAGACGGTTAAAGTCAGATTTTCCAACATATGATCAAATCGGTGCTTCATGTGTGTCATTCATGTGTTCATTGTGGAAAATCTGGAGCATATGAATATGTACAAATACAGAAACATTAAGAAAGGCAACCCACTTGTAATGTTTTAGGCAGCCTCCGTGTCTAGCCCTTTCGTAGGATTTCACATAACCAGGTACTGTGTTGCTTCTGTAGCTGCGAATTTCCACGAGCACGTCAAGCTGACTCTTGCAGAGCTGAAGCAGCAATGGCTTGATATTGCTTTCCCAGCGGCCCATACTCACTACTGTTTCAGGGGTTTGGGTCTGACTTTGAACTTGGGGTGGGTCCTGTACAGGTCACTGCTAGGAGTGGTCTAGCAGAACAACAAGGATTCGTCTTGTCTTTATACATGTGAGACAAGTGGGCTTATGATGCCCAGTAAAACTGATGACAACGTTATAAAAGTCCTCCTTTGTTCAGTTTGAAATTCTTCATAAGCACCATAATGGGTTGCTTTTCTTCTCTACCTGTCAGATTACATCTTTTCTTCTTCATAAAACAAGAACCCATGTAGTATCTATGTTTTTACCTTGGCAGCTTCCTCAAATCATACCATTGGAAAGACGCATTGTTGAAAAATCTGTGAATGTACCTTTTCTAGCACACTCAGGAACTCCAGCACAGGTAAAAGATATAAATGTTCCTTTCATTTTCTGCTTCCAAGACGCTTTTACACTCTAAGACTGTCTCTAACATTTCTACCCATTTTTTTTTCAGTTGGTTTTATTTGAAAATGATACCCACAATTGACTTGGAATTGTGTCTCTTTTTCAGAATGAGTTGTACGTCAATAACACCGTGAAGGACAGTAGTGACCCCCTGAAAGGGAGTGAAATAGGAAGACAAGTGTATACCAAGGACGGCTACAAAAGAGAAGGGAATGGCTCTGAGTCAACAGACGCAGGAGGGACAAATTCTACACGGCCCATTTTAGCAAATGAACAGGGGAACACTGCAGATGAAAATGAGGATGTGGAAACTCATGGTCGTGATGAGATACGTGCGAAAGGAGAGAACAGCACAGCGAAGGACATCAGCAGCCAAGGAAGCATCACTGAAAACGCCGGAGAAGCAAAGGAGAGTAATGTCGATGGACACGCTGGTCAGGACACAAAAGCTGGGGGTGCTGATGATGCGAGCCGGGATGGAGACGCCACCCTTGTCCAGGGAGGTGGACCTCAAGTAGCTGGAAGCGAGGATAGTACAAACCATGAGGTTGGCATACATGGGGATGGGGTTGGTACCCATGAAACAACACCTCAGAGAGAAGAGGAGGGAAGTGGGGACAAGGGGGCTGAGGTAACTCCAAGCACTGAGGATGACCCTGGTTTGGGTAATACTGATGGGAGTCCCAGCGGGGATGGGGAAAATGGGGATGAGGACATGGGCTCTGGTGATGATGAGGGTACAGAAGCAGGAGATGACAAGGGCAGCCACGATGTCAGTCAGGGCCAGGAGGACCCGTCTCATCAGGGGAAACAGGACAACAGAGGTCAGGGTTCAGTTGGTAGTGAGGATGACAACTCTAAAGAGAAAGAAGGCTCCCCAGGTGGATGTGATGGAGACAACACCTCTAGCAGCGAGGAGAACAATGGTCTCGAAGAAGGCAATGGCAGCCAGGCTGTGCAAGAAAACCAGAAGCTCAGTCACAAAGGCAGCGGAGGAGGTCCAGACGGCGGAGTCACCTGCCAGTCAGAAGCGTGTCCTCTTGGGAAGAGCCAAGACCAGGTTAGTTTTGAAACTGATTCCAGATTTCTATGGCAGTTCACATTCTCCCACCCACACTCGGATGGCTGTGCAAAACAACAACCACAAATTCAGACGCATACAAGATAAAACCCCAAACTAACATAAAAAAGTCACAATAAGTGTCTGGGTACTATTTTACCAACATTGTGTGTGTGTGTGTTTTTTTTTTTTTTGGTTTTTCGAGACAGGGTTTCTCTGTGTAGCTTTGCGCCTTTCCTGGAACTCACTTGGTAGCCCAGGCTAGCCTCGAACTCACAGAGATCCGCCTGGCTCTGCCTCCCAAGTGCTGGGATTAAAGGCGTGCGCCACCACCGCCCGGCAACATTGTGTGTTTTAATGAGAAAGTCGGAGTCCTTATAGATTTTGATGGAGAACAATCTTTAAAAATCCAGAAGTTTCTGAAAAATTAGAACTCTAGAAGTCAAGCTGAATAATGATTCAATCATGTTTGTGTAGAGCATTTCATTACTGTTATATTCATTACACAAAACGATGAGTTTCACTGTGACACTTTCCTTATTGTGCACCTGTTTAATCCAAAGGCCTATGGGGTAGAAAACCGGCTGGTTTATTGGAGGATTCGGACCCTGATACTGAGCGCTTTCGAGTATTAGATAAGCACATTTGCACAAATATCGCCATTGCACTGGCGGCCAGAGTCCTCTTCCCAAGGTCATTTCCCCGACAGCTCTGCAGCACATATTCACTAATTAGCTATTCTTCTCTGTGTTGTTCCCCAGGGCGTAGAGACCGGAGGCCCCAGCGCAGGTACCACAAGGAATGTCACCAATGAACCTGAGAAACACGGTGAAAGTCAAGAGAGCAATGGGCGCCGGGGGAAGGAGGTGGACCACGGGACCAGCCCGAGGCCAGGGGAGCCTGGCCGGCCTCAAGGGCCCGTCGAGGACTCAGAAGCCCCGAGCAAAACGGGGCGCAGCAAGGTAGTGAGCGGCAGCAGCAGCGACGACGTGCGCGACAGCTACGACTTGGATGACGAGTCCATGCAAGGAGACGAGCCCAACAGCAGCGACGAGTCTGCCGGAAGGGACGGTGCCAGCTCAGAAGGCGACAGTGAGAGCGGCGGCCGCGGGGACGCTTCCCCCAGCTCGGAGGAGTCAAGAGACGCCGGCCACGGCAGTGACTCCGACGGCGGCGATGAGGACAGCAGCGACGGCACATCTGATGCCGAGGACAGCGACGGGGACAGTGAGAGCGATGACAAGGACGAGTCGGAAAGCAGTGACCGTGACGGCGGCAGTGACAGTGAGAGCAGATCAGGCAGCAGAGACGGCAGTGACAGTGACAGCAGTGACAGCAGTGACAGTGACAGTGACAGCAACAGTGACAGTGACAGTGACAGTGACAGTGACAGCAGTGACAGTGACAGTGACGACAGTGACACTGACAGCAGTGACAGTGACAGCAGCAGTGACAGTGACAGCAGTGACAGTGACAGCAGTGACAGCAGCAGTGACAGTGACAGTGACAGCAGCAGTGACAGTGACAGTGACAGCAGCAGTGATAGTGACAGTGACAGCAGTGACAGCAGCAGTGACAGCAGCAGTGACAGTGACAGTGACAGTGACAGTGACGACAGTGACAGCAGCAGTGACAGTGACAGCAGTGACAGCAGTGACAGTGACAGCAGCAGTGACAGCGACAGTGACAGCAGCAGTGACAGTGACAGTGACAGCAGCAGTGACAGTGACAGTGACAGCAGTGACAGTGACAGTGACGACAGTGACAGTGACAGCAGCAGTGACAGTGACAGTGACAGCAGCAGTGACAGTGACAGCAGTGACAGCGACAGTGACAGCAGTGACAGCGACAGTGACAGCAGTGACAGCGACAGTGACAGTAGTGACAGTGACAGCAGTGACAGCAGTGACAGTGACAGCGACAGTGACAGTGACAGCAGCAGTGACAGTGACAGCAGCAGTGACAGTGACAGTGACAGCAGTGACAGTGACAGCAGTGACAGCAGTGACAGTGACAGCAGTGACAGTGACAGCAGTGACAGTGACAGCAGCAGTGACAGTGACAGCAGTGACAGTGACAGCAGTGACAGCAGTGACAGTGACAGCGACAGCAGTGACAGCAGTGACAGCGACAGTGACAGCAGTGACAGCGACAGTGACAGCAGTGACAGTGACAGTGACAGCAGCAGTGACAGTGACAGCAGTGACAGTGACAGCAGTGACAGCAGTGACAGTGACAGCAGCAGTGACAGCGACAGTGACAGCAGTGACAGTGACAGTGACAGCAGTGACAGCAGTGACAGCAGTGACAGCAGTGACAGCAGTGACAGCAGTGACAGTGACAGCAGTGACAGTGACAGCAGTGACAGCGACAGTGACAGTGACAGCAGCAGTGACAGCAGTGATAGTGACAGCAGCAGTGACAGCGACAGTGACAGTGACAGCAGTGACAGTGACAGTGACAGCAGTGACAGTGACAGTGACAGTGGCAGTGACAGCAGTGACAGTGACAGTGACAGCAGTGACAGTGACAGTGACAGCAGCAGTGACAGCGACAGTGACAGCAGCAGTGACAGCAGTGACAGTGACAGCAGCAGTGACAGCAGTGACAGTGACAGCAGCAGTGACAGTGACAGCAGTGACAGCAGTGACAGTGACAGTGACAGCAGCAGTGACAGTGACAGCAGTGACAGCAGTGACAGTGGCAGTGACAGCAGTGACAGTGACAGCAGTGATGAGAGTGATAGCAAGTCTGTTAATGGCCACAACACAAGCGACAGTGACAGTGACAGTGACGGCAGTGACAGTGACCACTCAACCAGTGACGACTAGAGCACAGAAGCCCAGACCCTGTGTGTGGGCCTTTGGGGAGAAGTGGAGGCAGCGGGGACTCCTCACCCACGGGGGACAGGCGAGGAGCAGGTCCTGTGGGACCCACAGCTCGCGGGGAACCGAGTCAAACCTGGATTTGGAGCCAAGCTCAACTCTCTCAGAGAAGATCTGGGTGACCAACCTTGGAACCTGTCTGTTAAAATATATTCATGTTCAGAAAATATTTTTGGAAGTTTAAGTCTAGACGTAAAATAATTAAAGAGAAAGTGAGGTAATCACTTACTGTGACATGTAGCTTTGATTTGAATCGTGGGTGCTTTAGAGAGTAGAGCAAGCCAAGTTACAGAAGGCCCGCAGCGCCATCTTCATCCTCCGGTGGTCTGAGCACCAGAGAGCTGGTCTTCATGCTGTGGAGCGAGCGACGCTGTTCTGTGACATTCAGCCCAACTACTGTTTCCTTTACCTGCTCTAGGAAATACGCATTTGTGACATGAGCAAAACATTGCAGCAACCATTGGCCCCATCCAAGGCATGGGGACAATCTTTGTGATGATAAAATAGAGTAGTTATGAATTATGGGAATTCTGAAGAATGAATCAGCAAAGAGATCTGAGGATGGCTCGAACAAGATCTGGCACATGCTGTCACATTTCTGCAAAGTCCCTAGTCCCCTGCAGTGCTTTGAACAGTGTCTCTCCTCCAGCAGTGGCTCTCAGATCTTAAGTAAATGGTTCTCCGTGTACCACTGTGTTATTTTGTCTTCCATCAGTCTCACAGGACACACTGGGTCCACAGCTTAATCAAGAGTTGTAAAGGTGTATGAGAACAGAGGGACCTTTTGTGGGCGCTAGGGCACTTCTGAAAGTTAGAGAGATGGCGAGAATGAACCACCAAGACAGGAGGTGTGGATTGGGATTCTCCCACGGGAACCTTAAGCCCTAAGCCTGAAGCATATCTTTCAAGATTTGGCGGTGTGCTTCGCCTTTTCTCTATTTTTCCAATTATGTCAGATTTGGGTTGAATCAAAGCTACTAGGTATGTTAAGACATTAGTCAACTCTATTATTTTAGACAGATTTTTACCCAGCATTTCAGGTTTTTCCTGTACTCACTTCCTTTTGCAAGAGATCTTAGCTAAGGAATGTTGCGAAGGCTTTGAGATGCTTCGATCTATAAACTCATCTATGACTCCTAAACTGTAAGACACCAGGCTTCTGCTTTGCCACAGCCATGACACGACTCCAGACCTCTTACCAGAAAACAACGGTTTAGACTGTGACTCCTACTAGATTGCCAACTTGCCTTTTGTTAGATTAGGTTAACTTGTGAATCACCGCCTCCAGTACCTGCCATACCTGGTCACAAACGTGGTGGTGATCAGTAAACAATGGATAGGAAGCTCATTGTAAACTGTATAAGAAATGTAAATGAAGAGGTACTGCATTTCATATTACAATAAACATCTGTTTACACAATTGCTCACAGGGGATTTCTTTGTCCTACTTAGTTTGCGAACAGTTGCCCTCCCTACTGTAAAAAAAAAAAATCTGGTGTATGAAATTACATTTCGCACACGTATTAGCCATTTTTATTGAAAACCAGTATTTGTGAACACAAACTACAAACTTTCAATACTACAAAAAAGCATACACAACACTCAGTCTTCACCATCCACCCTTCTATGTCTTTTCCCTAGAGGCGATTCCTCATATTAATGTTTTACAAACATTTCAGAAACGTTGTAGGCACATATAAATGACTATGTCCACCTTTAAAAATTCTGAGGTAGTCTACTGCATACAATGCACTAAGATCATCTTACATTTAAGCGATATGCCTTGAATATTGGTTCATAGCGTGTCGATCAACTTCTTTCTCATAGCTCTACTCACTTCATTAACTGATGTAAGGTTTATCCTGTTCTCATTGTGTTATCATCTGGATAATAGCCTAAGTCAGCATCTTAGTCAGTGTTCTGTTGCTGTGAAGAGACCATGACCACAAAAACTCTTATAAAGGAAAGCACTTAATTGGGGCTTGCTTATAGGTTCAGAGGTTTAGTCCAGAACCATCATGGTGGGGAGTATGACGGGTCACAGGCAGAAACGGAGCTGCAGAAGTAGCTGAGAGTTCTACGTCTGGATCCACAGGCAGCAGGAAGAGAGACACTGGACGTGGAATGGGCTTTTGAAACCTCAAAGCCCACCCCCAGTGACATACTGCCTCCAACAAGGCCACTCCCCCTAATCCTTCTCAAGTAGTGCCACTTCCCGATGCGTAAGCATGTGGGGGCCACTCTTATTCAACCCAGCACAGTCAGATACACTCGTAGTCAGATCTCAGAATGCTTTCTCCCTAAAGAGTGTTTTTATGAAGTTGGATGTTTAGGATCCAGACTTATATCAGAACTCATGAAGGAAGATTATGGTCTTGATTTTCTTATATAAACATATTTGCATTTGGAATTTCAAGGCAAGAATGTAGAAGACACAATTAAAAATATCTCAAGATATGATTTTCTGAATACCAAAAGTATAGTATTAGAGAAAACCTTATTTTACTTTTTGGAGTAAAGATTAATAAGCATTTGTCTCATATTACTCATGAGGGCAACCTTTTTTAGGTTTTTATTTATTTTTTTATTTATAATCATGTGTATTTGTATGTGTGTGTGAGCACGTGTGTGCAGGTATCCATGGAGACCAGAAGAGGGCTTAAGATCTCCTGGGGCTGGAGTGACTGGCAGTTGTAAGCTGTGGATGTGGGTGCTTGAATAACACTTGGGACCTTTCTAATTGTAGTACATACTCTTAATTTCTGAGTCACCTCTCCAGCCTTCCAGAGCAGCATTTCCTAAACCCCATGTTGCTAATCATAGTAACTCATAGTAACTCAATTTAATGAGTTACAAAAATACTTGATAGATGAAAGAGTAAGGAAAAATCATCATGCGAGATGGGCAGTGTGCTGCGAAACTTTCTATACGCATATCTACAAATATGTCTAAGTGTCCATAGACTAGGAGACGTGTGCAATGCTTTCTTACTGTCGGTTGCAGCTACAAAAAGCAGAAAGCCATTGGTTTAGGATGGCATTGCTGCACTAATAATCTGATAGTGACTTTCAGCGTTCCAAACCTCTAACTTTCATGCCCCATTTTGAAGAGAGCGGTTTAAAAGAAAGCAAAAGAGGCCTGGGAATGTAGTGGAGGGTGTGTCTAGAAGCCCCTGTTCCATCCTCAGCACCACAAACAACTAAACTGGTCATAGTGTCCCATTCTTGTGATCACAGTGCTCTGGAGGCAGGGGAACCACAAGCTCAAAGTCATCCTCAGCTACATAGTGAGTTCCATGGTAGAACTCAGTGTGGGTAGCACAGCATTCTCAAGATCTTGGATGGGGGAGGGGGAGAGAGAAAGAGGCAGACAGAAACAGAGAGAGACAGAGACAGAGACAGAGAGACAGAGAGACAGACATACATTCCCTGGGTTTACTTAGGTCATGGAGGAAAGGCCAAAGTTGACATTGACATTCATGGTCTCCTAGCTGTGCTGGGGGATCGTTGGGAATTTAAGCTGTCTTCTTGGCTGTGCACACAGGCTTCTCCCTGTGTGACTAAAGACAAAATCATAAAACAGGGTCTCTCAACTTGTTCCTCTTGCCTGACCTGGTAATTCCTTACACACCTGATCCGAACACCAGTTAGGAAATAGCGACAGTCTGCTGTTGGGGTAGTTGATGCTTTTACTTCAAAACCTAGTTCTCGAACAGCATGCCAGCATTTAGGGAGCCATACGTCACCATATAAATACATTTAAAACTATTAACTGCAGTAGAGTTTCCCAGAAGCCAGCCCTGCTTTACGGTTTAGTCATGGAAGTTTTGAAAAGCCATCGACCAAAATAACCAGGAACAATTTTCCTTTCCCTAAAAGGAGCAGGAACAGAGTAGAGCTGAACAGTCATGGATGAAAATACCATTGTGTTCTCACAGGGATCTGTTCACTGCTGTTCGGGAGCAAATCCTCTAGAGAGCAAAACAAATCAGCTACACAATGTTCCCAACCTCACCCTCCAACAGGGTTCTAAGCTTCTAATGCCGAGTGTGGGGAGCGAGAGGAGGAGAAAGAGGTAATGTCAGCACAGTCACATACCCCAGACCGCTGGTTCAAAGTCTAAAAGTTTTTTCTTCGAATGTTTTGCATGAGTTCACACAGTCCCAGCTCTGGCCGGAAGGTCTGGGTTGACAGACAGGCCTCTCATGGGACGCTTCCCTCATTTCCAAGTGCGTTATTTTGGGCTTTGCCACCGGATTTACCCTCCTTTCTTTACTCTGTTTCCTTCTTACAACCCTTCAAAGCCTTTTGCCCTTCAAAGAGCTGAGTGCATTGGAGAGGGTGTCCTTGACCTTCACAGAACTGAGTTCCCCTGTGGGAGTCCCGGACTGCTCCGCTTCTGTCCAGTTCCTAAGTTCTTGGGTTCTGGTCTCAACCAGATGGCTCCAGCTCCATATTCTCTGTACTTTCCTCAGCTAAAGCCACTGAATCATTGTTGGTGTCCACTAATTCTATCTCCATGTGATGAGATCTGTCTGACCTACAGGTCACAGATGGACCCACAGGTGGACTTCACATACAAGCTGCAATTCTCTTCTGGGTCTCTATTCTGTTAGCTCTCCTGGAGCAACTGAGTCAGCCAAGTCCTTGAAACAGATCTCCCTCTTCCTGTCTAGCCACACTCTTATACCCTGGTCACCTTTCTGCCACTTGACAGAAGATGATTCCTGTAACACTTGTCACTCTGAAAGGTGACAGTCGAAAGAGTCATCTTTGGAGATTGCCAGTAAATAAATATTGCATGTTTTTAGATGAAAAGTTTCCAAATAAATTTGATAATGTAATATCCCATCCCTGCTACAGATTCCATGCTAACCTCTAAGGGAGTTCAGATGAGTTTTCAGAATTGATATTTAGCAATGTCGCTTTCTTTTGCTCTAAAATTTACCTCCATCCCTCTGCTCTCAGTTCTCTTCCTGAGCTGGCCCACCTGCATCTTATGTCTCGCCACCTGCCTCATGGGAACACTTCCCTCTGCAGCTTTCGCAAGGCTATTTTGTAGGCAGTAGAAATGTGGAAAGAAACCTCAGATGACTCAAGTCCTAGCCAGCATCTGAGAGGCATCCTCCACTGAGAACCACCCGCCTGAGTCCACTCACAGAAGAATGAGATAGAAATAGATGCTCTAATCCATTAAGTTTGGGAAGCTGATGTGCTTCTTCAAAATTCATTGACTGTGATTCATTTGATGTGATGGGAGTAGGGGTGGGAGTTTTTGGAGATGCAGGTTATGAGGGTGAGGGCTTTGTGAATAGGAGTTCAGAGAGCTACATTGTTCTGTCTCTCCATTATGTGGAGACACAGTAAACCATAGCCTGCAGGAAGGTCCTCTCCAGACATCAGCAATGGAGACACAATAAACCATAGCCTGCAGAAGGTCCTCTCCAGACATCAGCAATGGAGCACCCAATCTTTGGCTTCTAGCTCCCAGAGCTGTGAGAAATTAATCTCTGTTGTTTATAAGGCACCCAGTCTATGATGCTTTACTCTATCAGTGGAGGCCAGGACAGATGGTCTGTCAAAAAGCAATAAATACATGGAATGGTTGAATCAGGTCTCCTGCCTCAGTGTCCAAAGGACCCCAAGGCTGTGTGCCGCTGTCATCGCCATATTTTGTTATGGTGAGCAGTTTAGGTCCCTGCTTAACTTACCAAAGAACAGACGCTATGATCTATTCTTTTTTGTGTTCCCACTACAGTGCTGGAAATCAATTTGATCAATAAACATGCGCTACACACTGAATGAAGGATAAACGGCAGGCAGTTTTTAAGAGTGGTGACCATGGATTTGAAGAGGAGGCTTTAAAAGATATGTAGGTGGCCGACAGGGACAAGTAGGGCATTTTCAATATGGCAGACTCCTGTTTAGAAGCAGAGTATATTGAGGGGTAGAGTGGCCAGATCAGCATAACCACAGTGCATATTCACAGAGATAGGGAGACAGAACGGAAGTAACATACTGTAGTTGCTACATCTCAAGGGTTATATTTTTAACTTAAAAAACAAATTTCATATAGTATGATATAAAGCAGTAATAAATCTGAGACAAACCTATTTGTTCCTTTAAAATTTTGCAAGAAATGTACGACCTTTCTACAGAGAACCTGTATGGAATGGGTCTGACCTGGTGATTAACACGTGCATACAGAAAGAAGAAAAGGCTGGAGAGGAGGATAAAATACAGAAATTAAAGCATTCAGGGAAAAGGAAATTAGAGTCAGCTATTAGGAACAGAATTAGGAACTATATAAAATGGGCACATAATTAGATTGAAATTCAAATTTATGTATATAATTTTAGGTTCTAAGGAAATGAACCTACTAGATACACAGATATTATATCCTATTGGTAAGAAAGAAAGAATT